TGACAACAAGGCACCAATTTTTACCCTGCAAGCAGCCACCGTTTTCTTTGGCATGTAGATAACATCTAAACTATCCCCTCGATCCACTTGGGAAAAAAACAAAACATACTCGGTTAATTAAGAAGGATTTATCACCACTTAACCTCAAAAAGTCAACCTTAGACGATCCTGGGCCTAGATGGAGCTCCTAATACCATGACTCAACTGCTTTGGTTCACCAGAGAATCGTGTTTCAAACCCATTTGTTCTACCTCATGGTTTATATTCATAGTAATTTCCTCTGGGGGTTCAAAAAGAAGCCTAACAATGCCACGTTTCTTTCGCGCAAGAGGCGGATCCAAAGAATAACACGCAGGGATATTTGCTGCGAACGTTATGTTAAGATCAGATTAACGTCAGTTGATAAAATCGAAGCGATCCCCATTGATGTTAATCAAATAAGTAGGAACAATGCATACTGAGATGATTCAGATTGAATGAGCCGCACTTAAACCCAAGAAAGCTGAGCTTAGACGTTAGGTAAGGTCATATATCTCCAATATGACTTATTCTTTCAAGCTCATTTACTTTTCAGGATGAAAAACTCAACAAAACCGCATATCTTAAATGAAAATGAATTAATAAATTTAACTTTATTGAACTCACAGTGGAGAAAATAAGTCTTGGCGTTTAACCCATCCCCTTGGGGAGCAGTGGGCTGCCATTGTGGGGGTGCCTGGAGAGAAATCAGGGGGGTTTTACTCAGAGACCCAGAGTGGCAGTCTGTGGGAGTGGAGCTCAAACTCAGAACCTCAGGATTCCAAGCTCTATGCCCTGACCTCTACACCCAAATATCTTTCATGAAAGAGGTGAATAGGCATTAAGGTAACTTTGCAGGACATAACGTCTAAAGAACCCCTTTATCTAGGAATAAATCTCTTACAGGAAGCTGCAGCTTCTCATGCCGTCATTTGCCTGCTGTGATTCACCCCCTCCTCCTCCCTCTCCCTCTCCCCTTTCAGGTTCTGGCCTGCCAATTCCCACTTGAAGCTTGACTGGGCCCTGATTTGATGCAAACTACCAGAAGGGAGGCACAGCGATGTCAAGTCGATTTTGCACCGCTGGGGGAAAGGTAACCTCTCCGTTGAGGAAGGAAGGGGACAAAGGTAACAACAAAAGGGGCAAAGAGAGGAAAAGAAGGAGGGAAATGCTTACTGCCTTACTGTCAGCGAGGGCACTAATTGCAGATGTGCCAGTCTGCCATCATAATAAAATCAGAGGCAAAGGCGGACATTAAGCACGACTGGCTCATTTGTGAGACTGCTGAAAAAGGTAGCACAAATGAATATTTCATTACCTTAATTACTAAGGAATACTCCTTTCCGCCAGTCGCCGAATGAGTGTTGCTGTAACTAATTATGAAACGTAATAACATTAGGGATACCGTGATTGCCAGTTTATAAGGCGGCACTCAGCTCGCCGCTGAGGTATAAGCCGTGTTGAGTAACATACAGCAGGAAGAAGTGGGGTTTGAATGTCAAGAAGTGGAGTCTTTAACAGGTATGAGAGTTTCAATGAATGCAAACACGCTATCCGCTCTACCTGAACGCCACGGGTTTGACGAATCCTTTAACCACGCAGCCTTGAAGGTACCTGCGCGGCTTCCTGCACATTTACGCCGCTTCATCATCCCCTTTTGATGTCAAATACTGTGTCGGTTATTCACCCCTGCAGCCCACGGGCACGTCCCCATGCCCGGCTGTAATGTATGACCGCTGATAAGGTCGTGAGAAGAAAAAGGCAGAGTACAAGGTCTGCTTTGATGGCCATGCTAATTCCAATACCCCTAAGTAGTAAGAATAACAAAGTGGTGGGGAATTTATCTCAGGAATGCTGGAGCAAGACAGCCCAGCGATAAGGAAGTAGCTTCCCCTGGGTGGGGGAGAAGTAATTAGACTGGGCTGACTTGTTAGATGACTGGCCTGGCTGCTGGGATGGGAGCAGGAAAAAAAAAACCCAAGAAGGACAAATAATAATAAACGTACTTTAGTGACTGCGGCATAAGCAAGGGGGGAGTTTTCCCAAAGAAAAAACTGATAGAAAGTCATAAAGCCATGACCTAACCGGAGACAAAGCTGCATGTCAGAGGCTGAGTCACAAGTTTGAACTCATGTCTGCTGTTTCCTGAAACCTTTTTAGGTCAGGAAATACCCTTGCATCTGACGATCCGGCACCAGAACAAGCGAAGGCCTCGTCACCGTCGGTTATCTCCGGCCTCACAAACCTCACTTCTATCACCTCGTCTTTCCTTTCAGAGCCTTTCAGAACCAAACCGAAACTACCACCCTGTCAGACTCCAACCTTGTGCGTGTCGGAAAGGCAGAGGACAGGGCTGTCGGTGTGATTATTCCCTCGCTACCTGAAGAGGTGTTTGTTTGACATTCCAGTCTGACAAGCGACGGGACATGAAGCGTTCAGGAGGAGGAGGAGGGTCCCCTCTCCAGTCAGAACCCATTAACGGTGGGTCGACTTTGGCTACACATGTCCAACGACTGCACAGCGGATGACATTTAAAGGGGAAGATGTCTCAGCTCTCCTTGACTCACTCTTGCCAAAAGGTTAAACAGTACATCGGAATAACAAGCAGTCCGCTGACCGCTCCCCTCGCTCAGCTGCAGCCTCCGGTTAGGAAGGTGCTTGATCAGCGGCGAGATGAAAGCATGGAAGTGAGTGAAATTTGTGCAACTGCAAAACGACCTAATTCTGGGCCTTAATCTCGCTTGGCAATCGGCTGCAATTAAATGGAGATAACGCATCTGAATTTACTTCTACGCAGGACGGGGAAGGCGGCGGCGGCGGTGGGAGGGTGGAACTGGAGCACCGGGGAAAGCCAGACAAGTCCTCGTTAAAGACGGGAAGAAAAAGGACACACTTAGGAGGTAAAAGAAGCAGGAAACCTCCTGAATAATGAACCGGAGTCAGAAAGTGAGCGCTGATCAAATAGCATGTTCTATTATGTGGAATTAAAGGTGGGAACGGTGGGCAAGTCGGCCCAGATTTCCGCATGTCACCGAGCCTTAATCTGCCGATCTGCTATTGATTCCTCCACACGGCCCTGACCTTGCCAGAAGAGCTCTTCTGACAATCCTGCGTACATCAAGGAGTGTGTGAATTTCCCTAAATGCGTGTGCATGTGTGTGATAGAGAGCGAGAGAGAGAGAGAGAGAGAGAGGGAAGGAGAAACCAACATCAGAGCGAGGAAAAACTGGAGGCTGCCTTCAACACTTGTTTGCACAAAGGTGTCATCTCCGAAAGCAGCTGCCGCGCAGAGACGAAGAAAAATGGAGAAATTATTTTAATGGCCAAACACCAGACACACACAGATAGAGACGATTGCACACGAAAAGCATTCACACAAACATGGACCAGCTGTGATCGTGTTTGTTCTTTTCATTTAATCTACATTTAAGCTTTTGTTACTCCATAATCCAGCTTGTTAAAAAGCTGGACCTGACAGGTTGGGATGGATGTTAAAGAATCAGAGAAGAGGAAGATAAATCCGAGCAGTTATCCAAATGAAACACGACTAAATCGTGGAGAAAACGAAGCAAATACAACCCTTTCATTTTTTTAGCGGAACAGCTGCTATCCGAGCGAGCGTGTAGCATTGTTGGGTACAAGAAGGTGTTTGTAAAGTTGTTTTTTCCTTTGTTCCATACACTTTTTTTCCCCCACCATCATCAACATTTAATTATGAAATCTGAACGTTAGTTTACACCTGCTCAGCAACCTGTCGCCTGTCGCGCCCAAACTCGAAAAAAGTCGAGGAAAATAAAAGAAAAAGAAAATCACAGGCGAGACGCGGCGGAATAAGTGCAAACAGCAGGACGAGACCAAATAAAGACTTTGCATTTTTACTGGAGAAGGACTCAAATGAGGCATGATTTTTTTTCTTTTTTTCATATCTTAAAAGATGCATCCTCCTCCTACGCAATGCATAAAACATGCTGGCTTAGGGGTAAGGAGTGGAAATGAACAAAAAAAGTCCGAATGGATGCATGCAGTTATTTGCCAGACCAGTGAAGTTTCAATTTCTCTGTTTGCTTGCCTTTTGTTTTCTTTTTGCCTGTCAAAATCAGAAAAAAAGCAAGAAGGCATAAAGAAGGCCTTTTTTCCCCACTCATCCCTGCTGTTTTTTCTGTTTTTTTAAGCGCATAATTTGAAGGCTACTCCACGTACAAGTTGGCCAACAGCTCCAACGTTGCAGCATGCATCAACGAGCCATGCAGGGAAGAGGCTGATTCATGCCTGCGCGTTAGTCAGGCGGCGGATCCTCCCGTGTTTGCATGTACGTGCAGTCGGCCAAATAAAGTGGCTCCTCTTTTTACTCGAACCGTTGGCTCCCTTCAAAATAAATAAAATCTAACGCCCCCGCAGCCCTCCCCACTCCTTCCACAACCAAAGCAGGGGTTAATATCACGGCTGCCTGGTAAGGCATTATCCAGAACCCTTCGGAACAAAAGGCCCCTTTTCCAAACAGACTCCTACTCCCCCCCCCCAGGAGTGTCCGAAGGTGTTTGCTGAAGTAAATCTGCCTAAATCCCAAGCAGCCAGGAGGGAGAAAGGGAGGGAAGGTGTACCAATAATCCCTGTTCTTAACCAGAAGTAAGAAGGAGGGGGAAAAAAGGAAAAGTTGTGGTTGAGAACCCGTATCACATGATGCCTGGGAATGTCTCAATACTCTTTTATTCAGATGTTCTGCAGACAAGACGAGGAAAAGGGCAAAATTAAGACACCTGCTCCTTATCTGCTCAATCCAGGATTTTCTTTTGATTCCCCTTTTTTTTTTTTTTTGGAGCGTCCATGAATAGTGTGGGCATGCCATCTCGTAACACTATCTGTCTATCAGGAGGGGCCGGGGGTCCCTGCTGCAGTAAGGAGGCTATAAAAGGCTTGTAACCAGGGGACAGGCAACAAACAACCACAAACACCCTGGTTATTCCTCTCCTGCACCCACCCACCACTCTCTGCCTCCATTTTTCTCTTCCTCTTCTTCTTCTCTCGTCCCCCCCCTCCTCCTCTTTTCATCTTGGGCCCTTTTTCTGATGCTGAATGCAAATGTGTAGCCCTGCTGCTGGCGGCGAGAGGGGCTGAATTGTGATTAAGGAGAAGAAGAAGAAGAAGGAGTAGAAGGAGAAGAAGAAGAGGAGGCTTTTTCTTTTTTTTTCTCCATTGTTCTCCCCCCGGGGGGATGTTTACCAGGAGAGACACGGCGGATCAGATATGAAAGGCATTCAGGTCAGCATTGATGTGAGCGAAAGTGAAATCGTACCTAAGGCATTCCAAAGAGAGCCGCGGTGTCAGGGGGTCCGGGGGGCCGGCGGTGCCTCCTGCGAGTGTGTGTTCTGAGGGCCGGCAGGCACAGAAATATCTCCACACAAGCAGGAGGAAGAGCCAACAATCAGAGTGCACTGATGATAATAAAAAAAATGTGCTGAGAATTGAGTGATTCTTGAGAGAAAGGAGGAATTAATGGAAGTTTCACTCATTAGTTTCTGTCATTCGGAGGAACAAGCAATGCCCCTTTTAGCTTTTATCTCCCTTATCAAAGCCAGTCCTGTGTGTCAAAAGTCTACTGCATCCATTCCACATTTCAGTCCTGCAGGAAAAGCATGCATATAGTGACACAGAACAGCGAAAGGAAAAGGATACAGCAAAATTAACTGCTTTAAAAAGCCCTATTATCAAAATAGTATTTCAGATTGTACGGGATGCTATTATAGCATCTAAGTCATCCAGGTGAATCCAGCTGACATCATGGTAGCAAAGCCCAATTAAGGAAGTGAGCAGTGGTGTAATCTGTTTGGACCATCTCATTTAGGGGATTTAATTATCAGGAAATAAAGTCAGGAACTGTCCTATTTGCTCTATTTTCCAGGCTCATCAGGAGCCCCAAAAGAAAAAAGGCCTCGCTTGAGTCCGACTTTTCCAGCACAAGTTTTTCTATCTGGTTTTTAAAGTAAGTAATCCCAGACTTCCTTCCAGAGGAATGCCCGCTCCTCCTCAGCTTCCTGCTGCTTGCGAGGAGCGTGGGGCGCAGCCCCGTGTGGGAATGGCAGCCCTGAATGCCGGCCTGGACAACCCCCCGCCACTATTGACGGTATAAACATGTAAATGAAACACATTACCGCTGACAATCAATTGTCCGCGAGCGCCCTGCGAAAAAGCAGCCCTCCTCCACCTCCTCCCATTTTTTCCCCCTCTTTTTTCTCCCCCCTACATCAGCATTGCTCGGTCATGGTGGCAGGAATAAAGAAAAATAAATAGGAAAAGCTGGTATGATAGGGGAAAAAAGCGGCTCACCTAAACACACACCTTTAAAAAGAGGATTAGGATAATTCGGACGTGAATTTGTAACTAAAACATTCTGATTTGCGATTTCTTTGGACCCCAGCAGACTTCGGGTTATGTAATGCGTGTGCTCCCAACGCCACAAGATGGAAGAAATACAGCAAACCCATTCGATGCAGCAGATATTCCGTCTTTTCTCTTCTTTAAATGTTGTCGTCTGATGCTCGTGCTGCTTGAGCGAGATGAAAATAATCCCAGGTGTGTGTGTTTCCGCTGGCCGCTCACAGCTGGATGTGACAGGCAACACCTGGCGGGGGCCAAACTCTCAAACAACTTCACGCTGCTCGGCTCAAGTTTCGCACCAGGAAAAAAAGGGCGAAGAGGCTCTTCTTCTCCTTTTTCTGCAGCATGACATATTTTTTTTTTTGCGACTAGAGAAATGCCACGCATGGAGGTCTGGATAAATCATGAAGCGCTTAATTTCTGCAAACTGGAACAAATTCAGACAAATATTCTGGGAATTTTTTGCAAGTGGGGGGGGGATTAAATTTGGATGTTTTATTGGACTGAGAGGAATATTCTCTACATAAATTGGTATTAGGTCAAATTAGATGATTAGATTAGGGGATTTCTATCCGTCAGCTAAGACTTGGAGCTCGGCGTCCCTCCACAGACAGGCAGGAAGAGGGGACAGAGAAGGGGAAGAGAGAGTGTGTTTAAGAAAAGAGTGGCCAAGCTTCAGTAAGCCTCTACTTTCCCAAAACAGCAGAAAAAAAAGATTTTTTTAATTTAAAGAGAAGGTTGGATTAAAAAAATCCACAAATAATAACTAAAAAAGTTTTTTTTTTCTAAAAGCAAAAAAAAAAAACATGTGACCAAGTCCTTAAAAGTCTCTTATTATTCCTATTTTCCTTTTTTAAATCCAAATAAACAGATAAATTGATATTTATAAATAGAATAAATCTGCTGTGCTTCTACTGAGAGAGGAGCTAAAGGCTTGTCTGCTATTGATTGTGTGAAATCAATAAAGGAAACCTGATCTAGATGAATAAGCAGTGCGGGCAGAGATTGAATTAAATAAAATAATAATAGTAATAATAAAGTGTGGGGTGATTGGGAATATCAGCGTTTATCCTGGAAATTCCTCTGCAGAAAAAAAAAGCTGGAATGTTTTCAATAAAATTAGAATAAAAAAATAATAATGCAACGTTTGAGGGAATTATTTCAACTATAAAATCATTAAAAGATGCCAAGCGGGGGAAAAGTCAGTCAATTGCACTTTTTTTTTTTTTTTTATCTTTTTCCTCCGGATGGAGACGGAGGAGTGGAAGCCCACTAAGATGCTCCTCACAGCGGATCCAGACCAGCCTTCCCAGGCGGGACAACCATCTGACCCCCAGCAGCCTCGGATTACTCTCTCCCCTCATCAATGCGTAAAAAGGCTCCAGCAGCCGGCAGCGGGCTCTCGCGCGTCCACGGATCCGCCGCGGACGCCTCCAACCCCGGCCACAACATCCACACATCCCCACTCTCCCACAGACACGCGCTCCCCGTGGGTTCCTTACCGTTTTTCCGCCTCGGATTGGCTTGTTTTCGCCTCTTACACCTGGGGCCATCCGCCATGATCTCCTGCCTCATGGATAGGTGTGTGTGTGTGTGTGTGGGTGTGGGTGGGTGGGTGCGTGTGTGTGGAAAGTGGTGGAGGAGGTAGGGGGGGATCAGATGGCAGCTCGCATGGACTCGATCCCCTGATTTTCAGCTTGATATCTGCAGGGAAACAGAAACACTGCGCGTCACAGAGGAGAACTGCCATTATTTGGATAAAAATCACCAAAATAGACTCTTCATTTCTGTTTAACTTTACTTTAAGTCGTGCCAAGAATGATTCTTAAAAGAAAAAAATAAAGAAAACAAATTTTTCTCCATGCATATATATATTTTATTTTAAAAAAGTAATAGAAACCTGGTGGATTATATATTTTTACCCTAATTAACTCATATTTGTGAACCTCTGATAGGGTACAAATGTTTAAACAAGCAAAAACAAATTAATAGATAAATAAAAAAAGGCATTTTTAAGGTTTAAACCCTATTTTTTTGCCGTGCATGCCTTCAGCTGCGCACCGCGCTCACAACCAACGGGGAAAACAGCAGAAATGGGACCAAACTCTGAGAAAAAAAACGCTGCTTTGTTTAAAGCAAACAAAAAAACATTATCCGAACACATTAAAAGCTTAAAAAACTAATTTCAAACCTGATCTAAACTTTCTTTTAACGCTTTTTTTTTAGATTTCGCGTTGAGCGGCTGCAGAGATTTCTGCGCTTTTCCAATCAAAGCCAAAATAAAGGAATAAATTCTCAATTGGAGGGTTTATTTTTCTTCTTTCGCCTCGGATCGCTTGGATGTAATAAAATGTAAAAAAAATCAAAGATGATTTTGGTTCCATTGTGGCTGCGGATTGAAAGCGGGGGTCCGTGTCCGGAGAGGAGGCTGCCTTCCCCGGACAGTCAGACCCAAGCCGGGACGCCTCCACCTTTGTCCTCCTTCTTCTCCTCCTCTCTTTGCGGGGATGATTTAAAAAAAAGGTACAGAAAGGAGCGCACCTTTTCTCCCTCCCGTCCTTTCCTCTATCCTTACTTCCACCTGTGCAGGTAAGTCGAAGTTCCAAGTTTTACGCAGACGCGCGCAAAAAAAGTTTAAATCCATGAAAATCTCCTGGAAGAAAAAAAAAAGCTGAAATAATGATAAAAATAGGAATCAGAAATGCCTACCTGCTTGTTTCTTTTTTTTTTCATTAAACGATGGCGTAAAAGAAGCGTCTCTTGGATGGGGATGATGGCGAGCGGATCCTTTTCCTCCGGTGATAATAATAAAGCCTTAGAAATAAAAGCCTCAGAAATAGTTGGGAGGAGGGAGGGACCGCTATTCCTGCTAGGGCAGGTTTACAACTGATGTCTTACACCCACTCCAGGAAACAAACCTGGGTAGGGACTGACGTGTTACGCCTCTTCTAATGACATTTTTTTTCTCTCTCCTCTCCGTCCACCTCCTTTTCTCTGCCGTGCGGAACACAGAGGAGGAAGAAGGAGAAGCCCCCTGAAACGCGCCACCTATCTTCACGGGAGGGGATAATTGAGGAGAGTCAAACGTGAGCATCTTCTCGGTTGAAGTTGTTTTTTTTTCTCTTCTCTCTCTCCCAGCTTTCCTCTCCCTTCTCTCTGCTCTCCTCTTTTTTTATTGTCGGGCTTCCATGCGGCGCAAAAGCAAATATGCGGCAGTTTTCTCTTTATTCTGCGGCGCAGAATCAGAGGAGAAGCGACTGGAATCATGTAAGGGTCACTTTTTAATCTGTTTATTAACTTTACCTTTAATCTAAATATCCAAATTATGCATTTTAATTTAATTTAAGAAAAAAAAGCAATTTAAATACATAATTTTTCCACATATATTCAATAAAAATATGCATTTATCTAAAATAAGTTGGCGCACCTGATTTTTTCTGCGCTCTGCTCCAACGTGAGACGCACCTGCGCGCTGCAGCCAGGTGCAACCAGGTGTGCTTCCACACAATTAAACGCGTGCAAAAATTATTTTGCAACCTGCGCAAACATTTGTTTTTATTTATTTCTGCGCAGTTAATATGGAAGGATTTCAGGAAACGGTGCAAAACTCTGTGAAACGTGGAGGTCGACCGTCGCAGCCTGGTCTGACAGGAATAAAACGCACCCAGAAGAGCCGGAGCCCAGTGAGGAGGCTCCACCTTTGCTGCGTCCTGATTGGTTATGTAAATAAAGCATTATTGTGCGTCCTGTCCTCCTGCAGCTCGCCACTGTATGGCTAATTAAATCATCAATCAAACGGAGGACGAGCAGATCCACGGTTACAAGCCTGAAAAGTAAAAAAGAAACAAGCAGAGGTAAAGATAATGCGAGACTAAACTAATAAATCTGTAAATTATTAACTTTTTTTTTTCCTTTTATGTTATAAAACGGGAGGAAGAGGAGGTGTGGCACCAAACAGTGGAGTCAGGGGGGGGATTATTGCAATGATTTGTAACTATTTTTTAAAAATCAAGGAAAAAATCACGAGCTGTAATTAATTAAAATGTTTATTTTTGATATATTTTAATTATTTTCATATATTTAAACAGTTTAAAATAGGGACTGGGGTGAATTTGCTGACCCCTGCCCACCCCCAGGAGATTTCTGTGGAGTTATTAGAGGTAAAGAAAGGCTGTGACGTCACTAATGAAAACTGTTTTCATTTTTTTAATAATTGTTCAAATTAAAAACAAACTAAGATGATTCAAAATCTATTTAAATATGCTTTTTTTTTGTCTTTCAGTTGCATCACTTTTAAGGGGGGGGCATATATTTTATAGCAATGAACTTAAGCTGAATCGTCTATTTATTATATAATAATTAGGTACATTTCCTTGTTTTTTTGTCTTATACAGTTTAATTTGGGGAACATCTTAAACCCCCACCTTACAAATTTTCAGCCCCCCCCCCCCTGGAAATGCAGAAGCCTAATATTAAAGGATTAATTCACCTTTAAATATCCATTTTCTTTTTTCGCCTCCGACTAAAGAAGAAGACTCAGTAGGATCTGCCTCCTGAATGTTTTCTGGGTAAGTTTGGATTTTATTTCAAATGTTACCTTTAATTTTCTCATTAAGCTTTTTTTTATCTTCTCATCTGAAACAAAGACGGAGAGGAGGAGAGTCTGCACCGCTCGTGGATCCGATCCTGGCTGAATTATTGTCATGCGTAGTTTACTGCCAGTGTGCGAGCATGTAAACTAAGCAAACACACACACACAGGGTGAGCCTGCAGTGGCCTCGTCTATGGGGCCACATATTCACCGTGAAAACGGATTACAGCCGCTGTCTGACCTATAGGGGGACCTTGTGTTTAATGAATATATGGCTTTAAATAAGGAGAGGACTTTGTTGACTTTTGTTGCTGATGTTTCTCATAAAACAGGCAGATTTTCCTTTTTTTTCTGCAAAAAAATACATTTTTTGTCATTATTTCTAAATAAAAAATTAAACTCTTAAGTCTTTTTACATATTATTATACATATTTAGCATTTCTACTCATGTTTTGCTCCATGTCTTTGTGCCTGTTTTATTTTCCTGCAGCGTTGGGTCTTAGAGGCGGCGCTGCAGAGGAGCTGCAGCGATGTTTCGCTGTCTTTTCCGTGGAATTACAGCTTCTGTTTGGGAGCTCGGGTTACACCCTGGCTGCTGCGCTGTCAGCTGCTGCTCCATGAGGGAACGACTCGGCAGGAGAAATTCAGCACAGCCCCAAGAGTTAAATCATTACAGGGAGGTCAGAGGTCAGGGAGGGGGGGGATATTAGGACCTGCTTCAGACAATCTGGATTTGTCAAATTTAACACATTTCCAGCATCAGTTTACCGATAGAAGAGCCATGAGTTGCAGGAGGCAGAAAGATGCCGATGCATCCGACGCCTCGGGACCTGAGCACAGTTGTATGTACATGTTGTGCATTCAGCAGCTCGGCCGCTAGGCGTCCCTGATTATTGGCCTAATTTAGATCTGCGAGAGTCACGTGACGAAAGAGAGCATCCACGGATGAATCCCTGCATCCTCTCAGGAAACAGGCTGGCAGTTTCCCCCAAACCTGTTGCAAAGAAAGAAGGGAGATTTCTGCATAAAACTCGACTCATTATAAACAAAATAAAGCAAAATGCTGCAGAGATGTGAAATAAAATTTACAAATCTTCTGCATGGATTGATGCAGAGCAGCATCATCTTCAGATACGTGGAGCTTTTTCACAGAACTCCCTATTAGGATGTCAGGGAGCTGGAGCAGAGCTGATGTATTCAGCATCAAGCTGCCAAAACCATTTAAATACATCCCTGCCAAAGGTTTATCCTCCAACTAGTAGCACAAATAAATCGGATCCGTTTCCAAGCTAAACAATGATTCAGCTTCTCCTCCCTCAGAGTCCTGATGGGCGGAGCTTAAGGACAATTAGTTTGTTTTTGTTTGATTAAAACATCTGGGAAAAAAGGCCTTAAAGCTTCTACCTGCAGTAGCTGAGCACTGAGCCACACAGGGCGGATTGGTCAAAAAATAAGCAGCAGGAACATTAAAACATTTAGTAAGTGTTTCATAATTAGAGCAGCTAAAAAAAACTAATAAACTGCAGGTAATTTACAGGAAATTCCTTTAATTTTACAACATAATGCTGGAAACGTCGTTGTTATACTTTTAAATTATCATTGCAATCAAATCACAGAACTTTCTATATTTCTCTAGATTGAAAACAAAACTGAAGTCACTCTAAATACACCAATAACAGAACTATTTAAACTATTATATTAAAGCTGAATTAAATAATCAAAATACATTTTAATTCTTCAATTTAGAGAGATTCTGTCCAGGATGTTAATGTGTAGCAAAAAGGTAAACATATTAAAACTTTACAGTAAGTGGAATCAGATCTGATCTACTTAATTTTTATCTTCATCATAGAAAATAGATACATAGAATAAATATACAGAAGGAGGAAATCACTTTTTCTTTTACTCTTGATATGATTAAAACATTAATCCTGACATTACAGTGAAATTAACACATTCATTTACAGGATTTACCTGAATTTGGTTTTATTAACATCAGAACAGATTTCATTCATAATAACGTTACAGGAAACATCAACACTACTATCAACAGTTCTACAATGTGTTCAGAATTATTAGCAAATGAGTATTTCGACCACATCATCCTTTTCGTACATGTTGTAATATGAAACTTTGATTGAGAACACAATTGTGGCTCAATAATTAAAATAATCCTCAAAAATACAGCTTGCCTAATAATTCTGCACACAGTGTATAAGAAGTACAACATTGTACTTCAGAATCCCGTCCAAAAAATACTTGACTGATCAGGAAAATAACTCCCTTATGTAAGGTTACAGTGTAAGATTACAAGAAGTACTCTAAGTAAGTAATTTTTTCTTAAAGTAAGTGTATTTTTCCTCCAAATGAGGAGGAAAGTGAGACACTTTGCCAATGGAACAAGACAATTTACATTTAAAATAAGAAAAAAAACAATTGCATTGTCTTATTTCAAGTTCATATTATCTAATTATCTTATTTCAAATGTAACGATACTAATTTCACTGGCAAATAATCGTATTTACCTTCTCAAATTAAGGGTAAATACACTTAATTTAAGAATTTTTTTACTTATTTCTAGATCGTTTTTGCACTGTAGTCTCAGTAGAAATGAAAGGTAACACTAACATATAATAAAATATATATTTCAGCAAAGTATAAAGGTAAATGTATGAGGATAAAAGTACCCTTTTTTCCAAATACTCGCCTCATTATCACTCACACTGGAAAAAATCTAAATCTAGATGAGTCATTATTTCTTAAAATAAGAGCATTTGTTCTTGAATTAAGAAGCTAAAAGAGAATTTTGCCAATGGAACAAGACAATGTAGATTTAAAATAAGAAAACACAATTACATTGTCTTATTTCAAGTGCATATTATCTAATTATCTTATTTTAAGAGTAAAAATACTCAATCCATTGGCAAACTATCTCATTTACCTACTCAAATTAAGGGTAAATACACTTAATTTAAGAAATTTTAACTTATTTCTAGATCGTTTTTCCAGTGCAGGTTAAGTTCAGCAACAATAAAAGCTGAAAAAGCTTAAAAATAACCTGTTGACATTTAAATTCACCCTAAATGCACTGCAAAAACGACCTCAAAATGAGTAAAAATGTCTTAAATTAGGAGTATTTACCCTTAATTTGAGCAGGTAAATAAGATGATTTGAGTATTTTTACTCTTAAAATAAGATATATAGATATTATGCACTTAAAAAAAGAGAATGCAATTGTTTTTTTTCTTATTTTAAGTGTAAATTGTCTTGTTCCATTTGCAAAGTGTCTCACTTAAATACTTAATTCAAGAAAAATGCACTTGTTTTAAGAAAAAATGACTTATTTAGATGTAATTTTTTTGCAGTGTAATAACAAATAAACTAACAGTGAATTGTTTTATTACTTTACAATGAAGCAAGTAGTGAAGAATTGTGAAATCACTAAATTTAAAACTTATTCCTACAATCTTAGCTCGACTTTTACCATCTTTACATTTTGACCAACTTCTACAATAAGGGTTGGTTATATATTTTCAGGACCGTACATAAATATTTAACCTACATAACGTCTTTGTTTCTAAAAGGAAGCGTTGCTAGGCCCCTTATTTCTGTACATAAACAAAACTTTAGTTGATTTTTTTGGGTCTAATCTCTGATTTGAGGCCAAAATTAAACACTTATAACATGCGAACTAACAGCTTCTTTCACCCGCCTCTAAGAATATTAATTCTGCAAAAACAAAATGCGATAGAGGAAGTCGACGTATTTATCTTCTGCAGTCAAGCTGCATATTTTATATAACGTCTAATGGTTTTCTGCTTTTTATATATTCCAACATAAGCAGTTCTTATTGAAAGACAATTAAATAACAGGCTTGATATTTCACTTTTCTTTAGTTTAATGGTGAGTAAAACAAAAGTGGATTTCTCTGTTAAACCTGAAACTGATTCAGAAAATGTTCCTTTTTTTCTACTTATACATAACCTAAAGGCTGGAGTGTTCATTGTGAAGTTTTATCAAAACATTTTTCCATTTTAGGTTTTTAATAATGTTTGCAAACCATTTAAAACGCCCAATTATAACAAACAAAAAAATGCATTAACTCAAAATATGAACACTGGAAAAAATCTAAATCTAGACAAGTTGTTTTTTCTTAAAATAAGTGCATTTTTCCTTGAATTGAGAAGGTAAAAGAGACATTTTGCCAGTGGAACAAGACAATTTGCATTTAAAATAAGAAAACACAATTGCATTGCTTTATTTCAAGTGCATTTTATCTAAATATCTTATATTAAGAGTAAAACACTAAATCCATTGGCAAACTATGTAATTTACCTACTCAAATTAAGGGTAAATACACTTAATTTAAGACATTTTTACTTATTTCTAGATCGTTTTTGAAGTGAAACATAAGTGGTGAGAGGGAGCTGTACACTGCAAAAAATGGAAATCTAAATAAGTAATTTTTGCTCAAATTAAGTGCATTTTTTCATGAATTCAGGAGGTAAGTGAGACACTTTGCCAATGGAACAAGACAATTTACACTTAAAATAAGAAAAAAAAAACAATTGCTTTGTCTTATTTCAAGTGTATATTATCTAATGATCTTACTGTACGAGTAAAAATACTCATTCCATTGGCAAACTATCTCATTTACCTGCTCGAATTAAGGGTAAATACACTTAATTTAAGAAATTTTTACTTATTTCTAGATGTTTTTTGCAGTGTACCAACTAATTAATTTAATATAAGGAAGATTAAACTGAAATATGGTTCGATTCCAGTCACCTGCTGAGCAATCTCTGCATTTTGGCCCTCAGTGTTCAAACTTTATCATTTGGTTGTTGGAATGTGAAAAGAAAAGTTATAAGGACTGAAAGTTTGAACAAAATGCCATCAGTTGACAGAGTAAATACCAATTATCATGACTTCATGTGATGCAGAAACCAAACGAGGCTGATCTGACCACAACGTCTGGTGCAGATAAAAAGGCAGGGAGGGACAGTTTGAAAATGTACTCCTACAATTCAAAGCAGCTGTCAAGCGGCTGCAGCTCAGCCTCTCGAGTGTTAAACCCTCAGCAAATAGTTTGCTTCAGCCCTGAAAGCAAGTTTCCCCCCCTCTTTTTTTAATTAAAGTAACGCTTGTTGTTCAGACAGAAGTATCTTAGATCGCATCTCCTCCACGCTCTTGTTTGCAGCTCCTCCAGCTCTGCGACATCAAACTCCATATCTCTCGACGGGGCTTGGCTCTGTGATGGCCACGCCACAAAAACACCAGAGAATGACGGACAATTAAAGACCGAGAGGCGAAGGCTGGAAACATAAAAAAAAAAAGAAATGCATAATGAATCTGGTTTACATTCGCCACAAGCAAAGAGAGAGGGAGTGGAAAGAACCGCTCTTCTCTGAGCATTTTTGATCTTGCCTGGTCGGAAAGAAAGCTCGCCAGGAGAAGAAGAAGAACGCTGCAAAGCAGAGAGCTGCAGAACAAATGATCACTGCACAAAAAAAAGTATTGATTTTCATGTTGTTCTTGTTAGCTGAAAACTGAGCTGAGGCTTCTACAAATGACCACTTATCCAACCCAGACCCTTGTAAAACAGACAAACATATGATGCGTTTTTTTCTTTCCTGTAAAAAGAAGTCAGACGGTTTCAAAAAGCATCGGTGGGAAACAACTGAACAAAAAGTTAAACTTTACTTTCATCGTCAGTCGACACGTTTACTTTATTCTCTGATATTTTTGTAGTTTCTCTGTCATCATTATCAGTGTCTCTAACAGCAGGATAAATCAATATTTAGAAAGTAATGAACAAATTCAAATTGATAGTTACTTTTATCACAAAGCATTAGTATTTAAATTAGGAGGACTAGAATCTGATTTGTAAAATAAAAATAAAGGATGCTCTGCTAGCTTAATGTCTTCTTAAGACTTAAAAAGTTAACCTAAACACTTAAAACTATAACATATTAAAAGCGTGCCTGTGTTATATTAAATTGGGATGCACATTATAATCGGCCCCCTATCGGTATCGGCCTTAAAACTGAATATCGGACATCGGCCACCCCACCGATATTTAACCCGGTATTTGATCAGCTTCTGAGTTTCTGAAGTCTAAAAATAAAAAAATACTACTTCTTCCTCAAAAACTTCTTTTTTACAGACTTAAAAACTTCTAAAGACGAGGGAAAAAATATTGATACATTAAAATATCCCAATATCTTCATAGGCTGATATATTGCCATTTAAAAACACCATATCAATCTCTCTTACTAATGAAATATTGCTATATGTCATCGTTATGCTACGAAATCCCCCGAAAATTCGCGAAATTTTGCCATATTTTTATATGTTGATATATTGACGCGGTATCGATCTATTTTACTAACAAAATCTCACAAGAATTTGCAAAATATCACGAGAGTTTGTAACACAACGATGAAATTTCACGAGATTTTGAAAGTAAAATAGATCGATACCGCATTTTTAAAAATCTATTTG